CGCTTAATAATAATGCTATATGTAATAATATTTTTACACAAGATGCAAATAATTGTATAAAATTATACTTACTGTAATAAATATAAGGCCAAATACTATTAATGATACAGTACTGAAAAATACAGTTACCAATGCAAAAGGACGAACTGCAACGGCAACTTCTCCTGCATACCTAAGATTGAATTTAAAATATTTGATCTCATATGTATATGGGATAGTCAATTTTAAATAGTCAAATACACACAAAATAACTGAAGTGTTTATCAGCTAAGCGCTTTAGAAAGATGTCTTACTGAAGTAATTGTTGATGCTTCTCGATGCATTTCGCGAAATCGTAGATGTTTGTCATTGTACATAACTCATCAGTCAACAATTTAAACCTCGCTGATGTCAACCAAAGCAAAAGCGCCATGAAAGCATTTACACATAAATGCGAGGCTATGAACATACCAACCACAATTTGGTGCATATACGTAATAGCCCTTAGCGGTTGTTGAGATGCGTCAAATGGAAAATCAGCAGGTGCTGGAAGCGGTTCGTCTAGCACGATAGGTCCCACGAAGAGGCCGCAGAGACTCATGTAGAATAAACTTATACAGAAACCATAGAAGTTGGAGTACTTGTCAACATATTCCCGCTGCACAGTTGCTTCTTCATGAGGCTTTATTAGCGCGCAAAAATTCTCCATTTCGAGAGTAACGTACTACAATTGAAATAATTATATTATTTCGATCGATAATACACGAGAAAAACATTTAGTTTAATTTCTCAGAAGTAGCATCTGCATTAATTACTTGCAATCGTTTATAAATGGCTAGGTGGCACAGAATGTTGCCAATAACATGGCTACAAGGAAACAAACCCAACGATGACTTTATAACAAGTTCGAGATCATCGAGATTCTTCACGAGACCGTATATCATCGACGCTAGCACGGCTATAGTCAGTAATATACAGACGTACTGATACAACTTCATGAATAGCACTTTGCGTTTACCAGTGTTCAGTGGTAGCGGCCAAAACCATATAACAAACAAACTCAACTTTACGACGGCAATCGCCTTTTTCAGCGTTACTTTCTCTGGCATGACCTCGATGGATCGTACGTACGGGGAATACGTAAAAATATATTGCAAATACTATTGCTTATTGGGAATCATTTCTCATGTTGTCGAGCAATCGACGATTCAAGAGCGTGCAGTAAAATGTCGGGGAATAAGAATAGTGTAAAGTCTGCAGACTTGAAAACCGTCTATACCGTCTTGAAAATTTTTCTTTCACAAAATACACGCTATTTCAACAGTATTCTTATAAAATATGCGCTAGGTGGAGGTGCGCAAAAATAATACATGTTGCATCGGTTATCTCAAGTGTAAAAAAAAGTATTCATTGAAGTAAATTAAGTTGATGTATGATTTTTTACAGTTTTACGGAAATGTAAAATATCGATTGGAGGAACACAAAATAGCCGTGCGATATTAGGTTTTCTTCTGCATATTTTCCGTAGGCTAACGCTAAGTGGCAGAAAACGTTAATAATTTATTGGATATGCAGAACCTGAAATGGGAAATGTGGTGTTACATAGCAGCTGTTTCTGGCACTATTGAAACATTGATGAATCTTCTAACTCAAACTGAGATATAAGTAAAAAGTAAAGATCGTGGAAATAAGTGAAAAGTAAAAAAGAAACTCTCTTTCATTCGTGCACAGTCTATTCTTGAAACTTGTACAATATAAATTTCTCTCTCAACGGATAATTTATTCTACCGCTAGCTATAAATCTAAATGTTCTCTTAAGTTAAATTACTAGTAGTCAAACTTTTTACTTTTTCGTGGATATTTTTATTATTATACATAAGTGTAGTGTCTTCTTAATATTATGCATTGTGTATATATAATTTAAGCTATATGTACCCATAAATTTCCTTTCTAGCTGGTGATACATTTAAAATTCTTTTTAAAACATTCGTGCTGGCCGTGATATAATCACATATCTTATACGTAGAAGTGAGTATTGTCAAGATGATCAATGGAATCAATTAAAAATAGATGCATTAATGATTAACTCACAACCAGTCTTAATAAGTTATAAATAATAAACAAAAAGACTGCGTATATTTATGTAAGAAAACCAGAATATTTACGTGAAATAATATTCTAAAACAAATTCCAATTACCTTAAAACAATCAGTGGAAATAGCCAAGAAAAAATATAGGTAATTAGACGTCTTATGAAAATGTAAGAATTCTCCAGAGACAACTTTCTCAAAATTTTGTTACCAAACGATATCATCTGACAATATGTGAATTATATGGCAATATATAGCAATTAGATAAGATTACCATGACATTCACTATGTAAAATCACACGAGTAGTGATGTACGATTCTAAATATACGTGTATAAGAATTTGTCCAGCAGTTGATTCTTCTTCATCGCGAAATATGCATTTTATATTATTCGCATTAGTTCTCATTGTAGGTATCTATTATATAATATTTACGTAAGTGCGTACGATAATTCATACTTTCTGACTTTAATGATTCAAATCGCCAATTACGGCTCTCATTGTCGTGAAATATGTCAACAGTGACATGAAATACTGTAAAAATGTTAAATCTGTCATAATTCTTATTATATTATTGCAAGCTATATTTTTTAAAAGCTATCATAAAATACATTACGTTTTACTGTAGCAGTTTTATTGCTTATACATAATGTTTTATGGCAACATATACTAGTACAATATTTAAGCGATGTATACCTTAGCATAATATTTGAGAGATAAAGTTGGTAGCAAGCTTCCCATACTGATTACAAGTGGTCTTTGACTTCTTTGCATGATTAAGAGTATGGTTTTAGTGATGCATTGTGATTTTCCAATCCATGACATATTGTATACTGCCATTGCAACTTGTTCACTCTGCAATCGTAGCAGTATCATTTCTAATTTAATATAATTCTATATATTCTATATATAATTCTTATATATATACATATATATATATTAATATA